GGTTCAAGTCTGAATCCAGCACTACACCTAGATTTTTGTCATTTTAATTTCATCTTATTTTATCTGCACTAAGATAATTTAATTTGTAAATTAATGAAGATTTTAAGCAGTCTAGTGTAAGTGTAGGAGCACATTAAAAGTTTTTTTTTGTATACCTAGGGCTTTTTGTTTTTTTTTGACTGCGCTTTACTCCTTGTTTGCTTAAGTGTATCCTGCTAATTTAGTCCATGTTTTGCTCACAAGTTAAATAATTATTGCTCAGTTTACTTTAATAATCCCTGGTTGGATTTTAGGACTATTTAAACCAACACTAAACTAAACTAAATTCCTAAAGCTTTCAGGTTTGCCTCACAAACCCATAGGAGGTCCACAAATCGAAAAAGAACCGTAGCATTTTATTTTTCAAAAGATCAGCCAGCCAAGAAAAGCACAACCACAATCAGAGAGGAAGTGCAGAACAACTCAGTTATCCAGGATTAATATAAGAGGAAATACAGGGATGTTCTCATTTTATTATCACTTATCTTCATCTATTCCTTTTTATTCTTATTTTGGTCCATTGAATATTTTTAAAAACTTGATTTCCATCAAATCCACCAAAATCAAACATCCACAGAAGTGCTGTCTCCTGTCATGGTGAGTTTTTATAGAATATACAGCCTCTTAGCAGAACTGAATTTATTTGCTGTTTTGTGTTTTGTCAGTTGTAAAAAAAAAAAAAAAAAAACTAATAAGACAATAACTTAAGCTTTTTAATCCTTAGTCTATTACCAAATATTCATACACAGTGTAGTTTGCACAGGATTCAATTTCACTGGTTCCTGTATTAGTGTCAGCAATCCAAAAATAACTTATTAGTTACCTATTTGTTATGTTACTTGAATTGCAAAGAATAATTAATGAAATTCTTAGTTTACAGTATATTTAAGATGCAAGTATTTTAGTATGGTCAATACTTCTTTACTTCAGTTCTCTGAAAATCACCAAAATATAGAAAATAATGAATATTGTGTGAAACATTTTCCACATAACTACAGATCACTTATCTTTACACAGTAACATTTACTTAGCTATAAAAATTCAACATTTTACAACTTGGTTTCAGTTAAATCCTCTGAAAACCTCCAGCCTACAGCTGCACCTGTCCTCATCTAACCCTGACCAGGCTTGCATGTCCAAATTCTTTCAAATTCTCACTCCAAGGTTTGGTAAAAAGTTGGCAGCCCTGTGTTTATGTAAGGCCGTCCTATGTGTTCGTCCCATTAGCTATATTTTTTTTGCGCATGCGCACTTTCAGGCGTATATCTGTGGTCATTGAAGCTGACCTTTCTCACCACGGTTCTTTGAAAATGGCCGAGGGTCGTAAGAGAAAAAATGTCTATGCGGTGTTTGAGAAGAAAAGAAAGGCCTCAGAAGAGGCAGATATATCCCAGAATGCTTTACACAGAGAGCTCTCCATGCAATGCATTATCTGATTTGCTGTCCCAGCGGCCCGCTATGAGTTTTAACAAAGATGGCGAAGGTACCGCCCAATGGAGGAGGAGTTACATGACCAATGGGGAAGTGATCATCTGTCCAAACGGTACGTTGACTGAGTTTGCCACAAAGTCCACTATATAGTCCCCGCTTTATTTAGTGATTGTGGAATTTAGGGGTTAGGATGGACGTTCAGACACAGTAAGATTGTATGACCTATGACAACAGTAACTTTTAAACAGAGCGTGCACGAGGAGAAATGGGCTTGTGCTCTCGCACAAGCATTTTCTTTAAAGTGTGGAGGGCGGGTCTTTTAAAACATTTGAGAAAACAATACCTTTATGTAGGACTTTAAACCATAGATTAGTGCGCCATTTTTTTTTTAGCACAATTGAAGCTGTACCTGTTTAATACCTTATATCGGAAACCCACCCAGATCTACCATTAACAAGGTCAAATAAAAACCTCCAGATGGAGCTACTTCCACCTTTCTGCCTCGTAGCGGCCAGTTGCTTCCTCCGGTGAACGGCTGGGCTCCATTGTCAGTGGAGTAGATGATCACACTGTTCCTGTAGTAGCCGTACTTTCTGAGGGCGTAGGTGACATTTCGGACCGCCTCGTCCACCGTGGAGACCATGGCAGCGAACTTCCTCCTGGCAACGTTAGCCATGTCCCGGTAGGGATAGATGTAGGACTTGGGAGGCTGCAGAGGGGTGTGGACTGCCTGGAGGAATATCATTTATACTTTTCATTTACATGTTTCATCACAGCTTATAAAAAAGGCTACTGAAGATGTCGAGATGTTTATTTCTAAGACATCCCAAATCACATTCAGAGAAGAGAAGTTAAAACACATCAAATATAAACAAATGCAAGTTTAAATAACTCTTCCTGTGTCTGGTTTTAATTATGCAGCTGTTTGAAAATGGAAAAATGTTTCTCAAAATGGGACTCAGATGTTAAAGTCGTAGGGAAACAGCTGTTCCAACTGTTGCATTTCCGAATTCTCACTAGTGGTGCACAACTTTACACAAGTGAATAAAGTGAATGTGATTGGTCGTTTATCAAGGGGGCGGGATTGTTGTGGCGGAAGGTTCGCAAGTACATTTGGTTGTGGCCGGTTTGTCGGAAAAATCTTGCTAACCAGTTAGCAACTTAGTGCTAGTAGGTTCCCAATGGGAAATTCCATTGGGACCAAGTAGCACTAAATTGGTGACATAGAAACGACACTGTCAAGGAACGCTATGGACAGAGGAAACATGCAAGAGGAGGAGAGTTTAGTGTCGGAGGTCGTGGATGAGTCTCCTCCGTCATACATTTTTTTATTTAGAGGAGGAAAGCGGGGATGAAGATGTTGTGGAAGAGGACGCCAGGGCGGCAGAAGCTTGGTTTGGTGTAGAAGGCTTACAGCCGCACATGTTTGACCCCTTGCCTCGCAACGCTGCCAGTTCTGTTAGCTCTACGCCTGCTGAAGACACAGACGTCCATCCCCGTGAACACTGGGACGCAACTCAATGGGAAAGGAAATTATTCTTATTTTACCCGTTGCGTATATTAGCTGCGACATATGAATCAAGATGCTATGACCGAAAACATTTAATTGACAGATGACCGTTGATATATGATTGGCCGAATTTAGGTGTTCAAGCTGACATATAACTAACTGGCCTGCATTAGATAACGAAAGAAAACCCACAGATTTATTTTGGACAATATGGTCTGATAAAGAGTACATTTATATACATGTTTAAGCCGGAATGATTTGACATTTAAATATAATTTCCCTATGACTTTAAAGAGCAGCCAGAGATGCTCTTTAATGAACGCTGTTTCCACCAGGCTGTGATATCCTGGCTTCACCATCGTCTCTCAGAGCCATACCTGCAGGGAAAGCAGCAGGAAGAGCGGCCTGTCCGTCAGGCTGTGACTCTCCAGGATCTTTCGGGCTCTCTGGGTGAACAGCGTCGTGGAGTATTTTCCTTCCCGGCCCCATGCTACGTTCTCATTATCATGGAGGTCGTAGCCACACAAACCAGGGCCGTCACAAGATCTGTAACTGAAAAGTAGATGGAGCAGGTAAAAGTAAGCTGAGGAAAACTAGATTCACTTTTTTTTTTTTTTTTGCCCTGGTAGTTACTTTATGCTAACCTGTAATAATCCACGCTTCCCGTTAAGGAACCGAAGAAAGTGTCAAAACCTTTCCTGGTGGGCAGACAGGCTTTCCTGCAGAACAAGTAAAAGGACCATCAGATTTTGTAGATTTTTGAGACCTTTGAAAGAACACTGCATCGTTTGCTCAAAGGTTTACAGGTGCAGCTCAAATTGATGGCTATATTTCTTGCACCATTATCACCATGAGTTAGAAAAAATATTTAATAGGTGCTATATGGAGCTTAAATATTATGTAGGGCAATAATAAAATAAAATAATGTATATAATGCAAGGCTCAAATTGTTTTACCTGTGAAATTAATATAGTTTTCCTCTGGTAAAAACTATCCCATTATTTGTCCAGTAGTTTTTTTTTTCAGAGTGAATCATCAGAGGACACCTGCAGACACTCCATCTCACCTGTAGAAGCCCAGGTGCCACTTCCCGACCATGTGTGTGGCGTAGCCAGCCTCGCGGAGCCTCTCAGGCAGGGTGTCCATGTTTGAGGGCAAACAGCTCGGCTGCCTGGGTCTGATAATAGAGTGCTGTAATCCTGTGTGGATCTGATATCTCAAAGAAAACAAGATCTGTCGTTTATCCCTCACAGTAAGACAACAGCAATCATCAGCTGAGCGGTCACGGGACGTTTCCACGCTTGAATAAGAGCCTCTGGCTCCACTGCCATCGGTTGTTTGCTCAGTCTCTCTAAAGCATCTGTTACCCATTAAAGGAACTCACATGTGAGCACAGCTGTTGGTAATTGGCAGGATAAACAGCAGTTGGATGAAGGACACAATCAAATAGCATGAATAGCCTCAACACTGCATGAACGACTGACAGTAAACAACAATATCTGGCTAGATGTTTAAAACACGTGTTGAATTCCCAGAAGCAATTTCTCCAGAACTCTTTTAAACTGGGTTAAACGTTTAAAAAAAAATTTTTATTTACGAAGAAAAATGTTTCAGCTAGCTGCAGTTCTGTAATTGAGCCACTAGATGTCACTGGATCCCCTACTTCAGAATTTGACGTTAGCTCTGAAGCAATCTATCGAATCCGATATAAAGCTTCAAAATTTTTTTCTTTTAATTACAGGATTGATTTCTGTTTTTTATTAATTTTCCAACCAAACATCAATATGACTCAGCATTTATTGTGTATATATATCAGCAGAACAGATCTGGATGACATTAAATCATCCAACATACTTTAAAAATAAATGAGAACCTTCTCCCACATTGAGGATGCACTCAATGGAGTCTGGACTTTAAGGAAGAAAACAAGGCTAATGGAAAACATGCTGCCATAATCTTGTTCCAGTTAGTTTATTAAAGTGTTGTGTATACCTGCCAGTGATGAGTTGGCTTCGTGATGGAGTACAGATGGGTTGAACATAGTAGTTTTCCAGTATCACCCCCTCTGCTGCCAGTTTGTCCAGGGTTGGGGTCTTGATGGTGGGGTTGTGGTAACCAATGTCATTGAAGCCCTGTCAATGATTGATGTCTGCTTTATTCTTGTGCAGAAGCTACATTAACTTTCGCACTTTGATTTTATTCAGCTTTATTTTTCCATAGATGCCCTTCAATTTCCCTTGTTTTTATACAGGATTCCTGGTGCTTTTTTTTTTATTGTTTTCAGATGGCCAGGTGTTGCTGCATTAAGAAACCCCAAATCATAGCACTTCCACAATTATGCCTAACAATTAGTATTAGTTTTTTATTTCCTGGATGGTGTGTTATTTTTTCCAGTCATGTTCCAAGTTATTTCTTCAATTAGATTAGTGACTGATTTGTCCAAATAGCAATATTTTAGAAGTGCTACTTTTTGTCTCTCTTCCAAAAGAACCTGTAAAGCTCCTAGAAAAGTTGAACTTTTGCCAACTCTACCTGAATGTACAGAAATATACTTTTATTTCCATTGCTGTAGGTCCTATGAGAAAATTTTGTGATTCTTCTCCCTGCATCTTATGGTCTGCTTGCAGGCTGAACAGGTTGGTTTGTGCTCGTTGTGGCTAATGCAGCTATAGTACGTAATTTTACCATCCAACAACTACAGGTGGTTTCCACGCACACAGTTCCAAGAGGAAAAACATGGTGGACGAGGAACAGTCCGGACTCACAAGGGTTTGGAACTAAAAAACATCAATTGATTTGGCCCATAAGCATCACAGTGAAGAACAGACTGTGAACAACACTTAGAAAAATATTATCATTATTGCTTGACATGAAGAAGAGGCATTAAAATACTGGAAACAACTGTATTTTCAATTTCTACATGTAGTGCCTACAAGGAAATGTTTTAAAGAATGACTGATTCAAAATTCTGAGATTTCTCTAAATCCTTCATTAGCCCCACAGCCTCTCTGAAGGCCTCAGACAGGTAAGTGAATCTCACCAGTGTTAAGGCAAATTCTCTGTCAATGTTTATGTTAATGTCAATTTTGTGAGTATAGTAGATGTAAGAACTACAGTTTGACTAAAGACCTTCACAAAAAAGGGAAACGCTGAATAAATAAATCCAGAAAACACCCATTAAACCAACCAATGTAGGATTAATAGAGAGTCAAGTATGGGCACATCACAACCTAGCAGGTCTGATTTAAATCAGACTAAACTCAAGTTAAAAGTCAATGTGAATAATGAGCATTAGGAGGGATTTAAAGGACTGGAGAGACTCAGCAGTAGGAATATTCAGGAGAAGTCTGTTCCACAGACTGGGGGCTGTGCTTTGAGATTTCTCCGCTCTATTTGAGTTGTAAAAGTTTACGAGATCAGTTAAATAACATGATGCCAAATCAATAATAATTTTTAGAGAGTAAAATGATCTTGAACTTTACATGAAAATGAAAATGCAGCCAGTATAACTGTGCTAGAACTGGAGTGATGAGGTCAAGCCTTCTGGTAGACATTAGAAGAAATTCAGCAGTGTTTGGGACTAATGCCAAGTCCAAAAGTGGTGACAGTAATCTGGCTTAAAACTTTCCTTTTTGAATTTATAGCTATAGTAGCTCAGGTTATCCACTGCTATCTCTATAGTTATGCTGCTATAGGCTTAGACTGCCGGAGAGCATAGGGACCCCTTTATCATCATTCTGCTTTATTCTATTTCTATTCTCCCACTGCAGAATTCTTTTGTTCAATTTCTAATGTTATGCTCTCTCTGCTTTTTCTCATAGTAGCTTCATCTGGTCTGTTCCTGTTTGGCTGTGACTCCATCCTGAGAGAAATATCAGCTGTTCTGCTGCAATCAACACCTTTGTTTATAGATGTTTGAGCTTGGCCTGTTTTTCATTGTAGTCCTGTTTATCTGACTGACTGCATGTGCTCTCTTTCATACTCCGACATGAAAGCTGGCTTGGAGGTGCTTGCCTGGCTGTGTGTTGCCCTGACTGGCCACCTGTGGAGCTGATTGACAGTTGCCTTTTGTGTGTCTGCTTCTTCTGTATGTCTGCTTCTGTCTCCTTAAACCCCAGATGGCCACTCACACTGAGCCTGGTTCTGCTGGAGGTTTCTTCCTGTTAAAAGGGAGTTTTTCCTCTCCACCTTTGCTACAAGCATGCTTGGTGTGAGGGATTGCCTTCTAGTCAATGAGTCCATGCAATCAACTGGTTCCCCCTCCTTCCTTATCTCCTCTAGACATAATGAAGGTAAGGACAAGAGTTTTAATGTAATTTGGGAGGATTTACCTGTATGGCCATTTGATGTAAACAATAAAAAGAAGCTTTGACAACTGTCAACACTTGCTTTCACATAACATTTTCTTTTCATTCATGCATTTTTCTTTAGTAGGATCAATTACTGCAACAGTTTCTTCACTAGTTTGCCTAAAAGTCCATCATACAGCTGCAGCTGATCCAAAACGCTGCTGCCAGTATTCTCACTAGAACTAAGAAAGTAGAGCACATCAGACCGGTTATGAAGTCCTTCCACTGTAGCTCAGAGAATTGACTTTAAAATCCTTCTGTTAGTGTATAGATCACCGAATGGATCAGCAACTCAATACATAACAGATCTGTTGTCAGTGTATCGACCTCCCAGATCACTCAGGCCTTCTAGTTCCAGCCTACTCTGTACACCCAGAACTAGAACCAAACATGGAGAAGCAGCATTTAGTTCCTATGCTCCACTGACTGGAACAAATTCCAGAAGACTAGAAAAGAGCAGAAAGCCTGAGTTCCTTAAAGTCAAAGTTAAAAACCCATTTGTTTAGAGTAGAGGTGTCAAGTTACAAAGTACAAATACTTTGTTACTGTACTTAAATACACTTTTTAGGTATCTATCATTTCCTCCATTACTTATTTTTCTTCCTACTTCTGACTTCTACTCATTACATTTTCACACAAGTATCTGTACTTTCTATTCTTTACATTATTAAAACAAACGTTACGCGTTACTCTTGGTTTTGGTTTAATGTTTATAAATATTTATTTCCCGTCATGTGCGCCATCCAATGCAGATCATTGCGCCATCCACATCTAGTGAAAACAAGTGTGATTGGATGAGTCGTATAACGCAAACACTCATTGGTTAGCTAAAGGAAATCATCAGAAGCAAGCAGGTGTTCTTCAAACTGTAAACGTGAATAGTCTATGCCATGCTACAATGTTGGATTCAGAAAAAGATGTTGAAATGTCTGAAAGGTCGGACACAGGCAAATTTAAACTGTTAACTGAGGTGTTATTAGTTTAAGCTTGTGATCCAACTGTTTACTTGTTTACCTGCTTTTATCATGTTTTTTTTATCTTAACTTGCTTTTTGCTGCTTTTATTTTTATTCCATGTTATTTTTTTATTAATTTGAACCACTATGAATTGTCTTAGTACTGAGCTGTACTATACAAATAAAGGTGCTTCGCCTTGCCTCAGAACTCTCTGATAATGAGGCCAGAGGAACGATTAGAAGTAAGACGGATAGCTAAGGTTATCACATAACAGCCTAAGAGGGGTATAGTCAGCAAACGCAATCATTTGATTTTTCTTTGATGTCTTTGATGTCTTGCAGAACGTTAAAGGGATGCTGAAGGCTGTGAGAGACATCCAAGTTTAAAGGAAAATATATTTAGACATCATCAGCATAATAATGTTGAATCTTTATGCTGATGATGTCCAAATATATTTCACTGTCTACAGCAGTGATTCCCAGAATTTCCTTGGTTTTCTTTGCCCTCCTTTTGATTAAATAGACACAAAAAATAGCTTTCTGATGGATAAAATCGAAGCCTTTAAGACCAACAATTATTTCAAATAAAAGCCAGAACTGTCAGGTTTTTTTTTTCCTGAAAGTTTAGATAGTAAAATATGGCATAATTTAACTCATTTTACCCTAAATAGATAGTTGTTTATTGTGAAGGGTGAAATGTCACCATGCTTAATAGTTTACAAATACCGAATACAAGAAGCTCATTGACTAATCCTATTATGCAAACCATCAAGACAGTTAGAATAAATATTTTCTTCTGAAACACGATAGTTCGATTGCTTAGGAGGATAAACCTTTGCAAAACACTCAGAAACTCACTTGATCGTCAATCAGGATGAAGATGATGTGCGGCTGCTTCCTGGTCTTCAGCCCAGTTCCACCGGTCTGAACGTTGGTGTTATTTATTCGGTCTGATTTGGACTGAGCCGACAGGAAGTCCCAGCTGAGGAAAATGGTCAGCAAGGTTAGAGCTGCCCGCATCGTTACAGCAGGGCTCCTGCAGGGAAAAACAAAACATTAACACAGGACAAAATAAACACAACAACACAGCAGTGTCTCCAGAAAAGAGGAAGAAAAACACAGAGGGAAATGGAGCTGGAAAATTGTTTGAGTGGGCACTGCTTCACACAAGCATGCCATCGCTGGAGGACCGAGTGCGGATCATAAAACCACATTTGGGATTTACTCGCCAACTTGGCTGAGGCTCTGATCTGAAACTCATCCATCTGTTGGAGCGAGAGCTGAAACTCTCAGGAGGAGGGCCTCTAAAGCCTTTATGAAGCTGGGTAACAACTCCAACAAAGAGCATTGGAAATATATTAGCAGTGGCAGAGAGAGCAGAGACTGCAGGGCCAAGGGTTTCAACACAACCCTTTCATCAGTAGGTGGGATTATGCGGCTGGATTAAAATCAGTCAAATCCTTTTAGCAAGAAGAGAAACAGTGATAGTCTACAGATTAATGATAATATATCTGTAAGAGAACCTAGAGGTCATAAAAAACTGTGTATTACTTTACAGTTGGCTTTTAAGAGTAGCATAAATCAGCTTGAACTGGGCTGATAAAATATAAGACGACCAAGAAACAATAAAAACTGTCTACTACTTTACAGCTGGTTTGTTTTACCTCCAAGGTATAAACACTCCTAGTTGGTTCTGTTGTTACTTTTTAGAACTTTTTTAGAACTTTTTTTTTTAAACTTGGGTGAAAGTCCAGTTTAAACACAGAACTGAAGTTGAATCCAGTGTTTTTGCATATTGTGGTTGTCGTTTGGACTCTTGTTGAAGCTTAAAGTGAGCCAGATTCCCTTTTGTGCTCACAAAGTTGGCCGATAAAGATAGTTCTGATTTCCGCTTCGTGGAGAAACAGAACCTTTGATATAGGAAAGTAGAGGGGCAGCCGAGGTCCACAGCTCCAGTGGGAGACATCTGCTGACAGGCCACCAATTACTGTTTGCTGGAAGCCACGTGGGGGAGAAGAAGAAGAACGCTGCCAAACTTTTGAACTTCTTCACTCTGTCATGCTCCACTTTACCCTCGACACTCCATCTCCACTGAGAGATAGTGATGGCCAGTGGCGGATCTAGGGGGCGGCTACTTGGGCTACAGCTAGGGTCCAACTGTCCCTTGAAAAACAGAATTGCTCCGTATTTAGAAGTAGAAGTACCTGTCCCATATTTAGTGTAAAAGGAACTCACTTTGTCCCGCATTACTGAGAGAGTAAAAAAATTGTGTAAAAAGCTAATGGAAAATGAAGAACAAGGACGCGTTAGATACAAAACTTATAGTAAACTTGTTCCCGGGCCCTGTCCTGTGTTCTGACCAATGAGCTGATAACATATATGTGACGATCCAGAATCCCCTCATCCTATTGGTCGAGCCAAGTGTTGCTCACGGAGAAGATAGCGGAGACAACAGAGCAGTATGGGGGACGAACGGAGTAATTTATGCTGATGCTCCTTTATTTAGCTTAACTCTGCAGCACTCAAAGACAAACAACTCCTCACTGCTGCAAGAGCTCAGAGGAAATGTATGTGGAAAAAGTCGCCTATCGACTCATAATGTTTCATTTAGCTAATGATTTTTTTTTCTGTTTAACAACTGTAGCCTACAGTCATTGCATTTAAGGCTCAAATATGTTTACAAGTTTGCAGAAGTTTGCTGTTGCACCAAAAATGTGCATTATTTATTCAATGTTTTATGTTGCTTTTTACAGTTTGAAGTTAAGCAGGACAGGCTTATGTTTAATATACTTATTCTGTTCATCAAAGTTTGTTATTTTGTATTAAAGTGTTCCTGCTGGATATTAAGTTGTTTTCAATGTGTTCATGTCAGTCGCGAATATGCATCTAATTCAATGCAGATTTGAGTCAAAAAGTTAAAAAAAAAACCATTTCACACACACAGGGGTGCAAAAAAAAAAAAAAACACACCAGGAGGGGTAAAGCCAATCAGCAGGCACGCACATGAGGTTTCCCTTTTTTTTTCAGGGAGTTGGCAACCCTAGCTACAGCCCTGCATGTGTCCCCAAGAGCCTCAGATCTCGCTTCTTAGCTGATCTGAGTAAAATGTGCAGTACTGGAATTCACCAGAGAGTGGCAGCATGCACAGGAAAGCAGCCTGTAGCATTCCCATGCAGAAGAAGTGTTTTCCTTTCATCGCTGCCAACTTTTAGGAGTCGAGCGCCTCCGCGCCGCAAATTTGAAATGGATAGGCCAGTGGTGGATATCAATGGATTATATCAGGTGGCTAAAATATTTGATCTCCCTCTCAGAACATTGAGAAATAACGATCAAATGTCACCAAATCCACAGGGTCTGTTGTTGATGAAGAGAGGAATAAACACAGTTAAAGAGTTGCAGGTATTTTTATTTCTTCCCATGTTATGGAGGGCAAACGGAATGTAATTTAATGTGTGTCTAATTGAATAGACATACATTATTTGTTCTACGTTTTCTCCCTCTCTTCTTGTCCCTTTACTTGTTGTTTTCCTCTCTATGTTTTGTACTCAGCTGACTTTTCATGTTGTCTCAAAAGGAATGAAACTAAGCTCACTTAACCGATTGCTCCTTCCTGTGTTTCCAAAAAGGCGACGTAAAGACGTAAAGTAAATAATCCAGTCCTTCTTTCCACTGTAGACAAGCCATGATCTGCTTATCTATTCTCCAGTTTTCATTCGTATGAAATAATAGCTGAATTGAATCATGACAGCAGACAGAGGAGAGCAGGAGGCGGGGTTACCAATCTACTGGCTCTGGAGAGCAGAGTTCGGTGCACTAGGTGGTTTTTAAAAATAAAAGCGCAAGAGGATTCTGAAAAGTCGCTGAATACACCTGTGCCTGAGACACAGTTAATATTATAAGCATCCTGATGGCGTTTTAACGAAGGGATTTTTATCAAAAACATAATTAATGTACACAAATAAGTAATAACTGTATTAACCATACATGTAAAAGGAGTTTTAGGGCCCCCCCAGGAACTTGGGGTCCCAGGCAGCTGCTTAGTTTTGCCTAATGGTAAATTTGCCCCTGGTTCAACTTTAAGTCTAACTTGTTAGTCTTATCAAACATGACTATAGGAACACTTTCATCTCCTGCAGAGTTCTAAGTGTTAAACTTTCTCCTTTGTCCTCAACTTTCCTCATTCTAAAGATTAATTCAGAAAATAAGCAGAAAAAAGGCACTAACTTTAGAACATTTAAGGGTTTATTGATATTTTTTCTAATTAAAATAATTCCTGTCTGCCATGAAACTAAATGTTAAGTTTATATCCTTTAGCTTAGTGGACCTTATCTCAGCATAAAGTTAGAGGAAGGAAAGCAGCAGAATGAAAGTCTAACTAAAGTGTGGCATGTTTGAACTTGTATATAGAACTGAAGGCAGAAGGTAAAGTTGGGTTTTCTAAATGATGAGAAGCAGCTGCCTGTGGTTCCCACTGCTGGAGACTAGAACACATATTTCCTCTGCCTGTGTGTGAATGCGCTCTGGAATAAAGCTGTTTTTGGGTTCATTAGAGGCTTAATCCTCTTTAAATGAGGTGGGTGATCATAATCCTATAATAACGCAGGAATAAGAGCTGCAAGAAATGTTGTGAAAGAAAGCTCCCAAATGTAGAATTGATGTTAGAATCAGGCCCAAATCAATACCTCGATGCAGGATCAATAGGAGTGAAGGGCTCTCCTGTGATCTTTGCTCTGCTCCTCTTTACATCCTCATCCTCTCCGCTGTCCTTCCAGCTCCGCCGCGCTTTGCTTGCTGAGAAGTTTGCAGGAGACGCAGCATGTCCTCAAGGTTCTCCCTCAAGCCTTCCTGCCTTCCTTCGGTCTGAGCGTCCCGGCTGCCAAAGAGACGAGAAAGGAGGCATAAAGCTCCCCGCAAAGCCCCGCACAGCACCGGGGCGCACTTTCAAAATAAAACACAGTCTGGCTGCACTGATTGGTGAGGTTCTTTCATCATTTATCAGGTCTGTCCACAGTACGGAAGAACGTTAGGGCCACTGAAAAGGGAAAAAAAGTTTATTTTAGTTTAATATGGGGAAAAAAGTCAGAATTCTGACTGTAATCTGAGAATTCTGACTTTAATCTCAAAATTTACTTTTTTCTAAGAATTCTGACTTTAATCTCAAAATTTACTTTTTTCTAAGAATTCTGACTTTAATCTATGAATTCTGACTTTAATCTCAGAATTCTGACTCTAATCTCAGAATTCTGTCTTTTTTCTCAGAATTCGGACTTTTTTCTCAGAATTTGGACTTTAATCTCAGAATTCTGACTTTAATCTCTGTCTTTAATCTCAGAATTCTGACTTTAATCTCAGAATTTGTTTTTTTTCTCAGAATTTGGAATTCAATCTCAGAATTCTGACTCAAATCTTAGAATTCTGTATTTAATCTCAGAATTCTGACTTTAATCTCAGAATTCTGACTTTTTTCTCAGAATTCGGACTTTAATCTCAGAATTCTATCTTTAATTTTAGAATTCTGACTTTAATCTCAGAATTCTGTATTTAATCTCAGAATTCGGACTTTAATCTCAGAATTCTGACTCTAATCTTAGAATTCTGACTTTTTTTCCTCAGAATTCTGACTGTAATCTCAGAATTCTGACTTTAGTCTAACATCATCAAGAACATGAAAAACTAAAGAAATATCAGAGGCTCAGAGAACAGCTGGAGAAAACCTGGAAGGTACAACACTATCACAGGGGGAAAAGGCAGAGCTGGGCCGCAATAACCAACAGAAATGAAATGCACTCTCAGCAGGGCGAAAAACCACCAACACACCTCCCAGGGAAACCTCCAGCTCCAGGGGGGCCCGGGGACCCATCCTTGGGCAACCCCCCAAGGACTAAACCAAGTAGCACGCACCGGCAGACTGTTTGGGCCCCTGGGGCAGTAACCCCCAAACTGAAGGAGTGGTTATAGCAGATCCCTGGAAATACATCCGACATCTTGGTCCAGAAGAGTGCAGTTCTAGGATATATATATATATATATATATATATATATATATATATAAATCAAAATTATTCCAGTCTAAATATTTTCACAGATTTTATATTTAACCAAACTTGCACACTGAAGGGTGATTTTCAGTCCTTGTTTCATTTTAATACTTTACTGCTCTAATTTTGAAGGCTGAACTACTCCACTTCCGTTTATTATGACTTTATTTATGTAACTTTACAGTAGAAGCCGTTTAAAAAAACCTAATTTTCAGAGTATACTGGGGGATTAGGTGAGTAATGGAGGGTTGGTATTTTCTAACTAGTCTTCTTAGGCCTGACTGGGACATCAGAGAGGAACAAGGACAGCATGGGAGGCTGGACTGATGGGAAGGGTGGAGAGCCAGCTGGCAGGGCCTCCAGAGGAATCCAACACAGTTCCTCCTTTATGCAACTAAATGTGGTGATAAAAAAAACAAAAACATGACAAAATATATGCATTACATTCATTTATCAATAACTTGTAAAACAAATACCTTTCTAGAAATATATGCATGCTTTACCCTCTGTGTTATTTTATTTGTCCAAACTGCAATAAAATAATTCATTTTCCTGTTGGGGAGCTTCTGTGGCTGGAGTAACTGGATCAGGTTTCCAGGGAGCAATGTGAAAGAGCCTGATTCACTGGCACTCAGTGAGAACATTGTCAGAAATTGTTTTATTTTTGCAGTTCTTCATGTCGCTCCCTGTGAAGAAATGGGCGGCATGTCAGGGAGAGAGCAACTCCTCTAGTTGATGTCTGGGGTCATTTTAAGGGGGTTCTTCCAGGTGTTTTAATAAATCTCTTAACATCTCCAGGCGACTCAGTTCTAAAGTTTGAAGCAATCTTTTCAGACATTTTTCCTATTCTCTTATTTATTTATTTTTTTGACAATCTGTAAGGATTTCAGATAGTCTGCAGCTGGTCTCCTGAAATCAAAATAGCTCTCTAACAAACCCCCCAGATCCATAAATACACTAAGCTGTTGTTTTTGGGGTCCTTATAGGATTATACTTTAATATAAACCAGTCATTCATGGCTTTAAATTTATAACTAGGACTGCTGTCGAGCTGGAAGTCAAATCCCATCCAAATCTCAAATCATCTACAACCCCTGGCAAAAATGATTGAATCAACAGTCTCTAAGGATGTTCTTTTACTTTTATTTTATTTTGTTGGAAAAGGAAGGCAGGCATGACAAAAAAACTAATGTCAATTAAGGGGCCTAAAGACACACTTAAGGAAATAAATAAAATAAAAAAAACATTTAGTGGTAAGCACTTTTTTAGGGCCAGTTTTGTCTTTTTCCCTTTAAAAGCCTCTCCATTTTTGAACACAGCTGACTGAACAACCAACATCTTTTGCAATGTCTCTCATGCTGAGACCATAATTCATCTCAGTTCACTTTGTGCAACAACTCTCCAAGATGTGATCACTCATTTTTAACTGCAGAACAGCAAGAAGATCTAATCTGATCCAGGTGTTTGTTCTGGAAATGAAAAATGTCAAGGTTGTTTCCATAGTTTTTTCTTCAGAATTTAGTGATCCCATGTTTTTTTTTCTTGCTTCCTGCTTGAACTAATAAAAGAATGACTGTAGTTTTGTGTCAGTTAAGATGATCTAAAATCTTTTGTTTATACATAATGGAGAAAAAAAAATCTAAAAAAGTGCAGATTGCTAGTGGATCTGCATCCTTTCTTTATAACTCTTTATCAGCATCTCTAAAGCATCACAGTACCATTGCCATGTTTCTCCAGGCCTAGAAGAAAGTGAAGTATACATTTGTATTTTTATTCTTACTATTATTAAATTGGCAATTAAAGGTTAAATCTATTGCTAAAGATCTATTGACCATTGGCTTGTTCTTTGTAATGTTTCCTTTTTCTAAATCTATAGCTTTTTTAAATAGCTAAACTGAGAAATAATTTCATAAAAAATCTAATCATGCACAAATCTTATTTTATTTTGGAAATTGAACCTTAATATTCATATTTTATTTTTTAGATCCAAACTTTAACTCTTTATGAAATTAATAAGTGGCAGCAATATTTTACTAAAATCTCAACTTTACCTTATGACACAGAGAAGGAAGCCTATCTCCGCCAATCTCATAAGCTATGTCATGCTACCTTATAATACTGAGATACTATCTCTAAATATGAGCCATTATCTTATAGTTATGAGATATGATGATTTTGACTTAGAATAGAATAGAAAATCCCTTTATTAACTACCTCATACTTTTGCAATACTATTTTATAATGGTGATATTATGGGATGGTATCTCATAAGTATGACTTATTGATCTTGTGCTCAAGAGATATCTCACAATAATGAGATACTATTTCGAATCATGAATTAAGTAATAATTATGAATTATTACTAGCCATGTCATGAATCAGCTTTCTCATAATTATAAGAAAGTATCTCATTATTATGACATAATCTCTCATATCTATGAGATGAAATGAGTATGAGATGTTACATCAGAATTATGAAATACTTAAATCACAATTATGAGATAATATCTTAGATAGTATCTCATCATTATGCAATCTCTTATGAGATAGTGAAGTAAAAAATAAAGAGATCTCATCATTTGGACTTAGCTATCTCAAAATTATGAGATAGTTAAGGCATGGCCTGAGAGATATGAGCCATTTTCATGAGTTAATGAGCATCCATACAAAATGTTATTTCTGGTTGTTATAAATTAACTTATGATATATATATATATATATATATATATATATATATATATATATATATATATATATATATATATATATATATATAATATATAATATATAATATATATAACCAAAAGGTACATTTTCCCAACAGGGGGTGCTTGTGCTCTTAGTGGTCTGTGAGTGCATTGTAAGGGATACATGAAAATATTCTGTTTCTCATCTCATAAAATAAAATAGGGCTAAGATCCATTAAACTTTGTGAGTTTAGTATGATTTTATTTTGTATTTATTTCGATTTTGTATTAGCTTCTGGGCAACATATTTATTTATTTTAAGCTGGAAAGAATAAAATGCCAAAGAATGAAATGCTCAAGTTAAAAAAGATTAAATAAAATATTTATTTTATAATCAGTTATTGTACATTTCACTTTTTTTTCAGTCATCAATACTTTTGTCTATGGGAGCCCATTTCTGCCACATGAAAGTAAAAAACCAAATAGAAAGTGATAATTATTAGATACAAAGTAATAATTTCGACTATCAGAGAAATAATTATGAGATCGAAGTAATAATTTCATCTTTCAAAGTCATAATGATGGGATACAAAGTAATAATTTCATCTTTCAAAGTCATAATGATGAAATAAAAAGTAATAATTTCCACTTTCAAAATCATAATGATGAGAAACAAAGTAATAATTTCATCTTTCAAAGTCATAATGATAACATACAATTAGATACAAAATGAAATTATTACTTTTATTCTCATAATTATGACTGCCTATTTGGCTTTTTTTTTTTTTTACTTTCATGTGGCAGAAACGGGCTTCCATATACAGTAGTCTGAGGGTAACCCTAAAATGCCCACAGGGCTGCACATGGCAGAAAATGTGGGAAACCGCTGCCCCTAAAGGGCAAAAATAAAAACTCCATTTCCCATGTCTCCCTTCGTGCGCGCACACGTGCTCTCGCTGGATAGCGAGCATGAAGTGAAGCGTTATTAAAATCCTGGATGCTTTCTGCTGCTGTATTTTTTATCTGCGTGTTTCTCTGTGTCTGCGGCTCATCATGGGCTCGATGGAAGACGCCGCTCTGCTGGTTTTAATCCACCAACACCTGCAGGCCAGCGGCTACAGGGACGCTGCTCAGCTGCTGGAGGAAC